TGGCGGAAAAAAGTTTTCATAATTTTTGTGTGAAAAATAAGGTGGCCGGCCACTGGCTTCAGTTTTTGAAAGTAGCTTTCTTTCTACCACATTCAATAAAAACCATACCAAACTCCTATAATGGGGTAGTTAAATTTTTTCTGACCTATACTTTTTATGGTTTTATTCAAGGCGTTTTGTTATATTAAACATTTCTGTGAAATCAGAACTTCAATTGAGTTTACCGTTTTCGAGATATTTACAAAAAATATAAATTTTTATGACGTCACAAACCTCGCCATGTGACCAACATTCTAAGATTTCTATTGGTTGAAAATTACCCTGTTGTCAAGTTGTCTTGTTAATGACTTCATTCGGTTATGTCAGAAAATACCCGAAGAGGTTATGTACAAATACTGTCACTGTCAGTTGAGTGAAAGATGGTCACCAAATTCATTAAGTACCTATCTTCCTTATTACGAGGTATATTACTGTTTGATATTTTAGAGTCCAAGATATATCTAAAAGAATATAAAGAACTAGGCATTATACTAATGAAATGCATTTACGACAAAATATGATTATAATTATAGGTACTTACTTTATTTGTTTAAAAGCTCCAATGTTCAATGGAACCAACCATTCCACAAGATTCCTCTGCTTTGGAGTCCGTTATTAATAAATCACTTATCTAATATCAATTACAAATAACATAACAATAACATTGATTTTCAATAATCTAAATTAAAAAAAAAACATAACCCGAAAAAAAGAAACTTCAAAAAATCAATTCTTCTTCTTCTTCTCAACTAAACTTATAGATCAAGTGGTTTTAAAACTAAAATATTATAACGTGGCGCCATCTATCGTAAGAATCTTAAACTAAACACACTGGCAACCATAGAAAAAGCTGGCAACGTTGTCAATAGCCTAGTGACGTAATTAGGAGATTTTTTTTTGTAAATATCTCGAAATCGGTAAACTCAATTGAAATTTCGATTTCACAGAAATGTTTAAAATTACAAAACGCCTTGAATAAAACCATAAAAAGTATAGGTCAGAAAAAATTTAACTACCCCATTATATGTCTCAATCTTTTTCTTACGGTATAGTTTAGTATGAGCCTATGGACTGTATCAGTAGGCAGCCGTGGGTGGGACGTTGGCAAAAAAAATTACTAGAACCTACGTTATTTGGTACTTTTACCAGTAGACGGCCATAAGATTTTTAAGGCTATTTCCGCACATTTTTGAACGGAAAATTTGATTTTAAAGGTTGTTCTCAGGTCATGGAACGCACTCGAAAAAGAAAATTTCATCAATACAATCATGAGAACTTAAAAAAAGGTCTAGAAGCAGTGATAAATGGGGCATCAATAAGAGAAACGTCTCGAATATACGGGATACCCAGGTCCACACTCCAGGACCGTATCAAGGGACGGATTGCGGACAAGCCTCGGCAAATGGGCCCTGACCCGTATCTAATTGTAGAATGGATAATTCAACTAGCTAAATGTGGTTTCCCTCCTAAAAAGTGTGATTTTATTTCTAAAGTGCAAAAAATTGTGGTGGATGGCAAGTTAAAAACTCCTTTTAAAAACGGGAGACCTGGGCAGACGTGGTATAAATCATTTATTAATAGACATCCCGAAATTTCCCTTCATTCTGCAGAATCATTGGAAAAATCTAGAGCAAAATTAACAAAAAATTACCTTGTAACGTGGTTTAGACAACTTCAGACTTTTTTAGAAACGTCCTCTTAGATCCGTCGAGAATCTTTAATGCCGACGAAAGTGAGTTCAGTCTGCATCCTAAATCGGGAAAAGTATTAGGTCCAAGAGGATACAAGAACTTATATGAAGTTAAAAAGGGAAGCGAAAAAGAAAATTTGACTGTATTAATAACGTTCTCTGCGGATGGGAAACTTTGCCCTCCATGCATTGAATACCCATACGTTAAACCACCAAAGGCACTGGCAGAAAGGATGCCACCAGATTGGATACTCGGCAAATCTGATTCTGGTTGGATGAAATCGAATGTGTTTTTTGAATATGTTGCCAATGGTTTACACGATTAAATTTTGAATGAAAACATTAAGAAGCCGATCATCTTTTTTGTTGACGGGCATCGGTCCCATATGTCGATTGAACTCAGTGAATTCTGCAACAACAATGGCATCATACTCTATGCTTTTCCACCGAATGCTACACATATCATCCAACCAGCAGATGTTAACATCAATTGCGGTATTCAAACCTTTAAAAGAATTGTGGAAACAGACTGTACGAGCATGGGAGGCTGAAAATGAAGGGATAAGTCTTACAAAAATTGAATTTGCCTCCGTTTTTAAAAGAGCACTAGAAAACACAAACCTCTCGGATCATATTAAAAATGGATTCAGGCGATGTGGAATATTTCCTTTTAATTTAGAAGCTTTAGATTATTCAAAGTGTATTCAAGATGAATTGGAAAATGTTGGACAAAACCCGCAATACTTAGAAGAACCTCCGGAAGAACCATTAACTTCTGATGACTTTCGGAGTACACGTAAAGTTTTACAAACATTCAGAGGTTCTCTTCTTGGCGAAGTTGCCGACTTCGACCGACTTTTTCACAAATTAAAAACATTTGAACAAGAAACTATCCATAATTTCTATAGAATGTCCAACAACGATGAAAGGGAAAACGGGGGTGTGCCTGGAGATATTGTTACTGGACAATATGAAGTCGATAATAATGGAATTTTTACACTGTTGGACAGAAATAGTGAAGAGGAGCCACGAATTAGTATCTTGTAATAGACATTGTACCAGCAGAACATTTTGCATTTGAAGAAATTGACACAACATGTATTCCTAACAACACATGGAGACGGAAGAAAACTTGAAAACGTTAGAAGAAAATTTCGCTACATCTAATAACATACTCAATAAAATTTTGGAGGCGAAAACAGAAAACTTGAATCCTTTGGAGAGAAAGATCGCTAAAGAGGAAACTGTGGAAATATTGGAGACAAAAATAAAAAACGTGAAGAACACTAATGACGGAAATAATAATACAAGTGGACATAAAAAAATGCTCAAAATGTGAATACCAGCCTGGCTATAAAACACAGAACGGAGAAACTTGTGCCATTGATAAACAACATTAATGAACAAGATAAACTAAACTCGCCTGAGACAAGTAGCAAGCAAAAATATGAAAATATTTTTGATAAACACCTTAGATTTCCCAGGCTGCTTCCAACAAAAAAAAACAGATCGGGGCCATCTACAAGTGCCATATGGAAATATTTCCTCAAAAGCTTGGCGATCGTATTATATCGACAAAGAGGAACAGAAAAAAGAAAAAGAAAACGCGAAGAAAAGAAAAAGAGAAAAAACACAACGAAACAAAGTCGAAAAATTAGCTAAAAAAAATAACAAAAAACTCAAAACCAAAGAAAATTCTGATAAGCACCAGCAACCTGAAGTACCTGAAAAAAAGAAATCTGCGGTATTTGTGAAGAAGAACTGTTTAGTGACGCAGAAGAAGAAGGCGAAAAAAATCTGGGTTGCGATGCCTGTCCACAATGGTACCATTTACCATTTGGATTGTACTAAATTATCTGGGCAAATACACTGTTCAAAATTTCATGACCATTTTAACACCAAATTAACACCATAAATATCGATACAAACCAAAATGGTGTTAAATGTGGTCCGTTGGCCCGGTGTTAATTCAAATACTAAAATAGTGTTAATTTAACTTTCACACAGTATTAAAATAAATTTTACCTGGTGTAAATTGAACTCCTTTTCAGTGTTAAATATTATGTGTTTGTGGTCAAATTAAATCATACTACACAGAAAAAAGGAAAAAAAAGGAAACAGGAAGTTCCTTGACGCATTACTAGTATATTACCAGTGGTATTATTCCAGAAAATGGAACCTTCAACTCGCACTAACTTAAAATACTTCAAGTATTGACAGCTGTTTCCACCTATTTAAGGCCTCTTTAGTATCGAACAACTTGTAGTGTCACACCAAAGCAAAGGATCATCTGAGTTTATATATTGTTCATGTAAGTCAACAGAGGCGAGATTTAAGAACATCACGTGATCCACACCGCCTTTGCCGCGATCGGTACACATTTTCAACCATAATTCATGGTGTTATATTAACACCACTTGGTGTTGGATTATGACACCATTTTAAGATTACTTTTTACACCACAGATATTTTAAACAGTGTATACGCAGATATTAAGGACCAAGAGTTTTACTGTGATACATGCCTTGAAGAAAATTAAATTACCAATTAAACTACCTACCTATTTTTTCACAAAGGTACCTAGTCCTCTTAACATAAGTATTATTTTGTAGGTAGAGAGAATTTTTATTTTTTAGAATTAGGATTTGTTTTTTTTTGTTATTTGTACCCAAGAATTGTTTTTTATTTAAATATTTTAATAATATATATTTTTACTTATACAAGATTATTTTTATTATCCGGTTACTAATAATTATTATAATGGCCCCAAAAAATTGGTTCCAGGCCTGGTAAAATGCTTATTTTAGGGCGGCCGACAACTAGTGTAGACATGACCGACCACTCAATTTGAGTGACTCAAACATACATGACCGACAACTAAAAAAACGGTTCCAATTAGAAATAAAAATGAACTAAATATTTAAGTTCGAAAATAGGTTGTTTTTATCTATCCTATGCGATAGTCTACTAAGAGAGCTACCTAGAGCAACAAGAGTTTGTTAGCCCAGTCTACATATTCACATGTTATCCTCATTACCTCAAAATGGGCCGACTACTAGCACATTCACCCTAAATACCTAACTGTCTAAATAACTTCTAAACAAACACTGCAATTCACAACCACAAAATTCAACCTTAATGCCATAAAATGCGAGCGTAATGCCGTAATTCGTACGTAATGCCGTGTAATTTGTAATGCAATACTGCGGAAGTATAAAATTAGGTATTATAATACCTAATAAGTATTCGCGACAACAAATTTTTATCTAATCTATGGTCTGAGCTCATAAACCATGGAGTTGTCAATTCTTGCCAGCAAATCTGATGGTAGATCATTTTCTTCCAACAATTGACGCAGTTTTTCATCTTCGGCATTGGTTTCTTTATCGCTTAATTCCAGATCTGAAGAGTCTTTTTATATTAATGAAAGAATATAATTAGATCTTTTTAGACCCTTATACATATTTCACTTCTGTCCGAGATCCTGTACAAAAAAAAACACTAAAAATATTTATTAATTATGTTGTACATAATAATGTACATTTTTTTTGAAATTCAAAACAACGCAAAGTTTGAATCGGATTGTACATTTTACTGTACCTACATCATTTTTTGAGCAATATTATACAAATTTCTATTACTTCTGTCCGAGATTATCTAATCTATGGTCTGAGCTCATAAACCATGGAGTTGCCAAGTCAAAAATATTGTCTGCAGATGCATGCATCTGTTTGATGCAATTAGTCAAAAAGAAAGAATTTAGTATGTATTAACATAATTACCTATTAGTTCTTACCGTTGATGCAGCAAATATATTTTTGTCTTTTAAAACTTGTAGCAGATTGTACGAGCTGAAGTAATTGTCGAAGAATAAAAGATGACCAGGTTCTTTTATTATTTCAGATAATTTTAGAACAACTGATGCTCCCATTCTAAACTTCCTGGACATTATCGAATTTAATTCAGTTAGCCGCCCTGATAAATAATGAAGTCGTAAGCCATACCACTGTTTCCGCAAATTTTTAACTCCCCAGGGATTGGGTTTACCCTTATATACTGTTTTACCGAAATGTGTCCTGTAAAAGGAACCATTTGTTCGTCAATACTTAGACTTTCTGGCAATTTTAACTCTAAACATCGACGTCTAATGAAATCATAAAGTGGTCTAACTTAAAAAAAACATCTTTACATTCTTCGGGTTTTTCAGGATTATTTATGAAATGAATATTATTTTTTAGAAACAGTCCCATTCTTATGTCTTTTTCCCAAAACATACTCACTCTGGGTAATCCTAAACTTCCAATCGCAATATGTAACCCAAAACATATTTTAATTTCGGATGGATTACATGGTTTAAACTTCGTATTGTCTTTTTGCAAAGCATAAATATTTGTGAAATTCGCTAGGTACATCTTTAAACATAGTTTCTGGAATATATTTTAAAAAATATTTAAAAGGTTCCAAAACTTCCGCATTATGGACTACAGGATTCATAATTTCTTTCTTTAGGTGCAAAAATATCTTGATGTGGTCCATTTTATCCCATTTTTGTCTGTCACAATGTTACATGCTGTTTGATATTCCAAAATGTGTTCATTTTCCAAGCCACCCACTTGAATTTCTGGAGTCTGCTCCCTTTCTTCCTCCTCCTCTTCTTCCTCAACGTTTCCTTTCAAGAAGGTCCCGGTATCCTCTATTTCCAAGCCCGCATTTTCTTCTAAATTGTCAATTCTTGCCAGCAAATCTGATGGTAGATCATTTTCTGCCAACAATTGACGCAGTTTTTCATCTTCGGCATTGGTTTCTTCATCGCTTAATTCCAGATCTGAAGAGTCTTTTTGTATTAATGAAAGAATATAATAAGATCTTTTTAGACCCTTATACATATTTCACTTCTGTCCGAGATCCTGTACAAAAAAAACACAAAAAATATGTATTAATTATGTTGTACATAATAATGTACATTTTGTTTGAAATTCAAATACATCGATTCAAAACAACGCAAAGTTTGAATCGGATTGTACATTTTACTGTACATAATTTTTTGAGCAATATTATACAAATTTCTATTGCTATTTTGTTGAAAATGTTATTATAAGGATGAAGAACATGCTTTTAAATGCAATTTCGTTTTAACAGAATTTCTAAATCAAATTAAAAACGTTGTAAAACTTACCAAAACTAAAACCTTGCACAGCAGCTAACCTCAACGACTTATAATAAATAAACTGCACGTCATAAAAATTTACGCACCTAGTTTTTTGGAAAGTATTTGAAAGCTCGTTATTGAAAAATTACTGAATTGATTATGAAAATCTTTGGAAATTCTGAATAGCTGATTCTTTGACTCTTATGTCTAATTTTGGGAATACGATATTTTACACATAGCATTATACTACAGGGTGTTAAACGAAGAGATGTATTTTTTCCGAAATTTCAAGTTATTCCCATTCATGAGGCAGTTGAATTTGATAGTCGTAATACCCCTTCCTAATATAAGTAAGGTACTCCCTCGGAACGTTTTCGAGATTTTGTGAATATCGCGGCTTACTACGATTATATGCCAATTTATCGAAAATCATCGTTATTTCCCTGTTTAGTCCAAAAAATGAGCAATAGTGGATTCTTTGACTTACGTCTAATTTTGAAATAAGATATTGTGCACAGCATTATACTAAAGGATGTTTTTTTCCAAAATTTCAAATCCCCATTCACAGGGCAGTTGAGCTTGATAGTCGTAATACCCCTTCCTAATAACAGTTAGGTAATCCCTCGGGACGTTTTCGAGATTTTGTGGATATCTTGGCTAACTACGATTATATAGCAATTTTTCGAAAATTGTCGTTATTCTCCACTTCCCAGATAGCACAAGAGGTACCCAGGACGTCCATTTCGGATCCCACATAGGTCCGAACGTCCTAGACCTATATCGGAAGTTTTGGGTACGTCCAGTCTCTTACTTATAGCGGATATACTGGGTACGTCCCAAGGACGTAATTGAAGCATTGTATTTCCAAAGGGTCTAAGTGCCAAGTTGGTCATTTAAAAATAGTTTGTGTCATGCAGAATGACTTAATAGTATATTCTGTAACAAGTTTGGAATACAGCATATCCGCTCGAGTGAAGAGTTTGTCACACGAGCCGAAGGCGAGTTTGACGGTTTCAGAAGAGCAGAATATGCATTTCCAAACGTGTTTCAGACATTTCAACATTTACATGTGCAAAATATTTGTTTTTCATTGATAACTCACAATTTTATTTTTGTAACTTAGACCCCCCAGACAGCATCCAATTCAGAAAGATTTCTGTACGAATTCTGTTGAAAAACATTTTACTGAGGTCACAATATGACATCTTAGAGAAATCATTTTTAGGAGCTCAAGATTAAGAGTTCTTGATGAATTCATAAATAAGAAGTAAATTTTTTAACATCTTAAAGTATCTTTTTTTCTGACCTCTTATTGGAATCAAAATTAAAAGCTACTAAGGGTAGGTATCATAAATAAGACTTTAGATATATGATATCTTACAGTATTCTCTTTTCTTACTTCTTACTGAAATCATATTATTAACTCTTTAAGACGTCAACATGGAGACGTCACATTTATGACATTTTAATGCGATTCTTTCTTCTCACCGCTGTAACTGCTTGAGTTTGATATAAGAAGCGGCGAAGTAGAATTTAGAGCGTGCTTCATACCAAACGGTCTTAGACCTAGGTAAACCGCTTCCCCGATAGTGAAGAGCTCCAAAAGAGGGAAACAGGCCGTCTATCGGTGCCGGTGAAAAGCATGCTTAAATTTAAACAAAAGTGAGACGAAGTAATCGCAATTAATAAAATAAGACTTAATTAAGACGTCATATTGCTGTCTGGGCCTTTGGGAATACAACTCTTCAATTATGTAAAGCTTGTCCATTAGTCCCCAATAAAGCATTTCAGGATGGCCAGAGGATGTCTTTCTTAGGACGTTCTGGGGACCGACGATTTGGTAACATCGGATGTCCCTGGAACGTCCTGGGGAAGGTTCAGGACCTGATTCGGACGTACTCGGAACTTACTAATGTCTGATACAAGATATACTCAGGACGTTTTTAGTACTTCTTTGTGCTATCTGGGTTAATTCCCAAAAATAGGCAATCTACGAAAGATATCGATTAGTTATCAACACATCGTTTCCCCAATTTGCATGTTCTTGTGCCCATCTTCTTCTAGCAGAAAAAGAGGGCAGGCAGCTCTTCGTCTTGCGTGGTATGCAATCTTACATCCGTCATTTTATTTTTTTAAATGTGCTTTGCTGTTTGAAAAATGTTTTCATATTCGACGACAAAAATGACAAGAATAATTGAAGGAAGGAAACTCAAAACCAGATATGCGCCATATTTTTTAAACTTTCATAGTCAACCGTTTGTATAAGTTTACGAGAATAATTTTGTTTGGTTTGCGTTTTTATTTTAAATTTAACCGAAAAAAATTGGTTTTGTGTGAAACATTTCACTTTTAATTTCACTTTTAATGAATCACGCAACGTACATATACGTTTTATGCATAAAACGCTGTGTTGATACCTTTCGTAGTTTGCTCATTTTTGGGACTTAAGTGAAGAATAACGTGAATTTTCGAAAAACTGCCATATATATATGGCTCATTATTTTTACTGGAACGTTACAGTTGCACACATATTTTGCTTATTTTAAAATGACTATTAATAAAAACTCGCAGTTTCTTGTATGCATGAAATAAGGGACCTTGAGACTAACATTTTGTTCAGTTAATTTTTTTTTGTATCTTTTAAAGTTTTTATTTTATAAGCATTTTACATTTACTGGAATGTTACACAATTTTGTAAGTGTGTATAGAGGTTGTTATGCATTTTTTCAAAAATCTGCGAATTGGCCAAATCAATTTAATTTATTTTTGAATATAATATAAATGACATATCAAAATAAATATTTCGATTAGAAATATATAAAGAAAAAAATATTAAATGTGATTATCGGTAAAAATGTCATTGCTGGAACGTTACACAAAATTTCTGGAACGTTACACGTACGAACTCAATAATAAATTTGCTGTAAAAAATCATCATAACAATTTATTGTGTACTTTTTAAATAATGACAATAATTTGGAAAATTATTTACAAACACAGGGTGTCCCAAACTAACCTGGCTCTAGTTCCTAAACCGTTTGAGATACTTCAGTGAAACATAACAACTATATTATTTCAATATAAAGGTTAAAAGAAAGCCATATCTTGATCCTAAAATTTTAAATAAAAAATTTATATTTTAATTAATTCATTTATTTAAGGATTACTTGATTTAAAAAATTAAGATTAATTTTCTCAAAACATTTATTAACCGATTTACGATCGGAAAAAGTATTTAATGGATTACGAATCCTACAAGAAAATATAATAAAATATACAGGGGTTGATTTGATAACATTAATAAATTCTTGTTTTTCCTTATCATCCATTTTGGAAACTATATTTGCAAGAACTGCTTTCTTTTTTGTCGGAGATGCAGGAATCGCAAGTTTTGCTTTTTTTACTGCTTTTCCAAGCGTTTGTATGCAATTATATCCAACGAAACCTAATTTATAGTTGAATTTTTAAGTCATGAGCCCTACGGCAACAATGTCAAGCAACTGAATCAAATCGAGGGCAAAATCAGTGGCGTATCGTGGAGTTTTATTTGGGGTTCGAAATGTTGTATACGTATGCAGTCCATTATACACGTTTGTGCTTTGGGTTGCGAATCAAAATATGAGAATCGTATTTTGCCTGGCTTAAAGCATATTATGATTCGTTTTAACTTAAATCCTTCATTTGAACGTGCAAATTTATTAAAACAGTACCTCTTATGTAATTATATTATTAAATGAAACGTTGTAATTTATATATATTAAATTATTGTAATTTTAAATTATATAGTTTGCGTTACCCATTCTGCGTGGAGAAAATTAAGGGTAGGTACCTATTCTACTACTAAAAAATTTCCTATAATTTGCAAATTTTCAAAATATGTATGTTAATTAATTTGGAAATATTAATATTTGTATAATGCACAATGGTTAAGATATTATTTTATATAATCATTTAGTTGTGGAGATTTCACACACCAATAAGCTTAAATGGAGACAAAAATGGGACGTCTAATTTTTGTTTAATAGTAAAATGCAATATACTCTGAAAAAAATTGGCTTATTTAATAATTTAATGATAAATGCTCTTAACTGCATTAAAAGGATCTATTTTCATCTATTAATATGTTAATATTTATATATAAGACATCTTAATTGCTATCATCTTCCGATTCATCGTCGTTGACGTTACCAATGTGGATTATCATTTCATGACCATGATCATCGTCTGTAGCCAAGAAAATATGCCATCGACTTTGGCGCTGAAACCCGCTCTCTTAACTACTATCGTCCAAGATTCTTTCTTTATTGTACCATTCCTCTATAATTTTTTCAGTGTGTGCTATTTTTGACTTCCATGATTCTGGAGTAACTTTTTGTAATGCCCGTTCCCACATAGTAAGCACTTTATCATGATATCAATGCATTGCCATAGCCATCTTCACCAATATGTTTATTATAATAATCCTTTGCATCGGCCCATACCATTTCAATTGCGTTAAATTGACAATGGTACGGAGGCAATCTTAAAGCTTCATGTCCATTTTCTTGTAGCAATAGACCTATCCCATAAAATAGACTTTTGGATAGCGCGTGCCTGAAGAAGAGTGGTATATCTTTCTCTTTTATAATTATCCAAAAGTCCGTTTTATGGAATAGGTCTATTCATCAACCTTATAT